CATTTCCAGTGCTCTCCTTCAGGACAGAAACTGCTGACACCTTCACGAAAGAGAAGTACACGTTGCTCCGTTAATGCCCAAATTATATTATTTCTGGCTGTAATCTGTGATAGTTGATATGGACAGTCTACTTTTATTGCCCTGGCACAGGGACGATCCACGCTGAGGCCTTCAAGTAAAATACAGAAGAGCAATAAGCATGTCACTTTTTTTTCTTTACAATGTTTGCTTTCTGAGTTTAGTTTTATGTCCTTTCTATATAATTTATAATAGAACTACCTCCATTTTTGATATTATTGTATTTGACCTATACCCAAAGTATTTTCCTTTAACATATTTCTATCCTCTGTGTAGCAATAATTCTTTTCAATTGTTATCCAATTCATTCAGTTACTTAAGATTGTTTGAGAATCAATCTAATGGGAAAGTACTGCAGGATAAAATTAATACCTTTATATTTACCACTTACAAGCAAAGAACCATGGCTTTGACAAGGATTAAAATGTAGTGCCTATATTTTTATAGACCTAATTTTAAATTCCTATGTTCCTCTTCAGTGTATTTCCCCCCCAGATCTGGTTATATTATGGACTGTTGAAAGTACACTTACCAAATGTATTTCTATACAAATGCATTCACGCATTATATTTATATCTATATCAGAATTTTAAATCAGTATAGAGAAAGCAGCAAAGCAACACACACTACTCCAGTGGTGGCGAACCTATGGCACGCGTGCCAGAGGCGGCACGCGGAGCCCTCTCTGTGGGCACGCGCCATTGCCCCAGCACACGTGGTCTCTAAAAGTTCGCTCCATGTGAGGGTTTGGGGCGGCAGGAGCAGGACGCTTCGTGCGGGGTTTGGGGCAACGGAAGAACGCTCCGTGCGGGGGTTGGGGCGGCGGGAGGATGCTCCGTGCAGGGGTTGGGGCTGCAGGAGAACACTCCATGCGGGGGTTGGGGCTGCGGGAGCAGAACACTCCGTGTGGGGGGGAGCAGAACGCTCCGTGCAGTAAGTAAACTTTAAAGACAGTTTTAAAAGTATGGCAGTATTCGAGAAAATCTTGCCTCTTACATGGGATCAGGTTTTTTTTCTCCACTCCCT